TAAAACTTTCTAGTTTTTGACCAAAAATTTAAAATATTAATATAAAATTTGATAGCACATTGCCAGAAATAATTGAAAATTTTCTTTTGCTTTGATTCTTCATGACATTCCAAATAATAGGTTATGTCTGTATCTGAAAAAAATCATTATTCAGTTGTTTTTTTATTAACATTGAATAAAAGTTGAGTGTATTTTCCACAACATTTATGTAAAACATTTTTTCCATTTTCTTAAATAAACTCACAAAAACTCAAATCAAAATGTTCCCCAAATAAAATGATGACAATCATGTAGACCAGCAGCGTCAGGATCATTTTCATTCGGTGTTTCTTCTCCAGTTTGTCTGTAAACATTTCTTTACTGAAAAAAATTTTGTTCGATGTTGTGTGTTACACAATTGTGCAACACACAACATGCATTAACAATATTGAGCGAAGTTTCTTTTTACATTTAGAAGTCTTTTTCTGACAATTACATATGAATCGTTTATTTCTGAAACACCCTAAATCAATTTTAGGTCAAAATGAGTTACACACGGGAATTTGTCAAGTCGGTCATTTAAAATACCGTACGTCAGTATATTTTATAAAGTCGACTCGATGTATTTCATAAGCAATGCAGCGCTTAAATACTCCAAGTCACTGGCTAGCAGGAGGTTTGTTTGATTTCCAAAAAATTGCCTAAACTGACTTAGAGTGGTTAAAAAATAACCAATTCATATGGATTAAGCCACAACCCTCATCTTTAACTAGAAGGGCATTGGCATATTACTAATTGTAGTCAGTGAGCTTTTCTCAGGAATATTCTTCATTTTCAACTGAACTGTAAAATGTTCGAGTCTTTAAAGATAGTTGAATTCGCCTTCTTTCCATCAGCTCTGATGTTGATGGTTGTGAATTTATAATCAGTATCACCAATCAATGGTAAGCAACATAATGGAAAGAATACTTGTAGTTGGGGTTGAGATATCCAGAGTGTCCTGGCTTAACGGCTCGAATATGTTTACCATCAATTGCTTCGATATAATAAGAGAAATTTGCTTTAGTATTAAAACCCTTAGTAATGGTCAACCATTCTTCTTTTCGCGGTTCTGTCAAACATAAGCCTTTCAAGAAATTCCAAATCGTCAAACATACCTCTTGCACAATTTCTCTAATAGTTGTTTCTCCTAGTCGAATAGTGTAGGATGAACATAGGTATTTGAAACAAGGGAAACAATCTTTAATTTTTGTTTCAGGAGACAAACTTCAGAAGAAATGGAAGAATGTGAGAGAACTCAGGTCGTTGAAGAAAATGAAACAGAATCTAAAACAATTGAAAAAACCCATGTATTTTTCTCAGGTGTCATTTTTAAACAAGTGTTCAGGCTGTGTTCCTACTATAGGTGGTAAAATCATGGAAGTGGCAGAAACAAAAGCAAGAACTGCATGGAAAGTTGGAGGGCCATATGATAGAGCTGAAGGGAAAACTTAAGTTTCAACTTCCTTTAAAAGAACAAAGAAGCAAAAACTTCCTGTTGATTACGAAGATTTGCTTCTGATGTTGAAATTTTCCAATTAAAGCTGTGACGAATAAGACAAACAGACCGAATCTGACTATGATCAATTGTTTTTACTTTCATTACTTCCTGAAATGAAAAAAATTTCTTGAAAATGTAAATCTTTCAACGAAAATGAAAATCTTTTCTATCAACAAGTGAAATCAAACAAGGATCTCACAAAACTTTAACGAAGGTACTTCAGGATCCTCACAATAATACGCCGGTACTTATGGAGGTTTTTATCAACATTAGCAGAACTCAACTGTTATTAGACACCAGCTCCAAGGCTTATTTAGGGTCCTTCATCATCACCAGAAAAAACTCCGTCTGCTCTTTCCGTTCACTTAGTTTGGTTGTCGTTATCATGTACTGCTACAGATGATTACGAATATTTCTAACTTTTCTCTAACAATACACTATAAAAAAAGATTTGGTAAATTTTTACGGAAAATTTAAAATTCAGAATTTTGATTAATGAATGATAAAAACGCAATTAAATATTAAAGATGAGAAATGTTATCGTATTAAAATTTTTGAGGTTTGCAAATAGATGCAAAAAATACGTATAAAACGTATTTTTACCTCACTGTGACAAGTTGTTTTGATTCGAGGCGAATGTTCACTATCATGGTTGTTTTCTGTCATCTGACTGAATCCTTTAGTAGAGCTAACAGTTCATCAAATGATTTGACAATTTGGTATAATTGAAAAACTTATCTTCATGCTACCTAAGTTTTTGATAAACAATGTTGAAGAACATTCCTTTTTCTCGACGACAGGCCATCACAGGGTACACCCAAAATTTTTGTTTTGTCTTTATCTCTATTCCTCTCTCTAAGGAGATCCACATTGCAGCTACTTACTCCGCATTTTTTGCTACACTGACTTCTCTACTGATTGTATATAGTCTCTGGCCGTGTTAGATTGGTCGCGTTTCGATCGTATTTTTCTGGCCGCGATTGCTATGGAACCACGAGCTGGCCGCCAGTGACGGGGCTTTAAATTGATTTGAATGGTTGATCGAAGTTAGTTGTGTTGGTTTCCATTAAATATGTTTATGAAATTAATTTGTATATATCCGTCTCCCAAAATAAAGATTACACCATTTCAGGTGAGAGAATATGAAATTTCCCAAGTAACAACTCTAAGATACTTTTGATTTATTTAGGTTTTAAAAGTGCTTTAACATGTTCAATAAAATGATAGTGGTTTTAAAATTACCTTAAGATAAACTAAAAGTTCTTAAAGACCACTGATTCTTATGCAAAGGATTTAATGCATTCTTTAAATTAAAATAAAAAAACTGTTTGCTCCTAATGCCCTATTGATCTTATACTAGTTTTATAATACTCTTGACATTGGCTATATTAAAACTAATTTACCTTTTAATAAATTAATAAAAGGAGTTGGTTTTAAAACCATCCATTTTGGAACAAATGGTTTTAATGTAGTTTTATGGAGTATCCTTGATGTAGTCATTAAAACCCATTAAGAAAACTATTTTATCTTAAGCCTATATGCTCAATGAAATTCCACATTAAATCCTAAAACATAGTTTTTACTTTTAAAGAGTAAATTAAGAATATTTTAAAGTTCAAAGGTTTTAATTTAGTCAATTTGATTAAAAGAAATGCCTGTTGGATTTTTGATGACTTTATTAAAATTAATTCTATCCCCTCCATAATTGCAGAAAACACGCCATCTACTCAATAAACTGATTGCTGATTTAGTGAACCAGTGCAGTCCGTGTACCTACTTTATGCATGAATGAAAACTAGAAGACATATTTAAAATGGAAAATATTAGTGAAAAGTATTTTAAATTAAAACGAAGTCACTAAATCCAGCAATCACAAAACCGGCACAATTTTAAGGTTAGGATTTCATACGCGCGCCAGATCCCTTTAAATCAATAAGGCCACGAGTTTGAACATATTAAAGCAACTCAGTTTTAAAAGGAAGAGTAAATAAATGTCTGGGAGAGTAATTGTACTTAAAGTGGTAAATATAACGCTATTTTAAGTTTTGTAAGATTTAAAATGTTCTATTAACTTGCAATCAGTTTTTATCTAGACCACGCCATTTTTTATATAAGATATATACCCGCCATGATGAATATTTTCAATAGCCAAAGAAAAAAATATTATTGAAATATATGCGCTTTACATCCTCTTAAATAACTGAAGGACGGTGTGTCCAAACATGCAATTTATTAAAAAAAATGCATTTGGATGTTTAGATGCAAAATAAAAATTGACGATATTTTTAAAAAAATTTTTAGATAATAAAAAAAAAACATTATATTGGTGGCGCTCGAGTTATATAGAAGTATTTTATTATATTTTGTCAGAAAAGTGCCATCCGCTGGTAATTTTTACAAAAGTTTGCATTTGAATATTATTTTTGATCAGCTTTATATGCGTTACGTTAAAATAATTACCACTATGCCCCATTAGAGACTTGCCGTTGTTTTAACTATTTCACGCATAGAGTTGTCCGACTCTGAAACAAAATAAAACCCTTTTAGGATTAATTATAATGATTCTCAAGGCAATTAGTAGTCTGCTGCAATTTCAATTTAAATGCAAAACGTTTTAATACATAAATTTAAGGTTGCCCTGAAGAACTCTTTTAGAATATGAGATTAAAACTAAATGGTTTTTAATATAGTTTTAAAATTTAGTCATCAAGACCTTTTAGGATGGGCCCTTTTTGGCTAGAAGTGCGTTATGGTGATCCTAAGCTTGTCTTGAAGATCATTTGGTTTTATTCGAAGTTTTATTGTATAATTTTAAAGCGACCTTGGAGATCTTAATAAGAGCATTAGTGTTACCTGGGTTTAGGGAGGAGGAGTAGGAAAAAATGACTATTTGTACGTAATGAGCCACACCAGGGAAAATACTAGGCATCACTCTAAATATAAGCGCCTATTTGTTCACTAGGATGCATCGGATGCTTCGGACAATTCATATTATTTTTTTCAACATCGTATATTAATTCGGATTTGCTTTATGTATTTATGGATTTAACAGTAAATGAGGCGTTATTACACCTCAAACTCAGTTTTCTCTTTGTAGATGAGATGAGTAGTTCAAAAGAAGGGTTATTTGCAATTGCATGCGCGTTGGAAGGCGAAGAAAAAAAGAAAAGCAAAGAAAAAAGAAAACAAAGGTTTCGGGTTCATAATATAAACATGAAAAGGAAATTATATGGAGAGTTTTACACCTATTTGTGGATTTAGTACAGGATGATGCAAAATTATTATTAATAAACCATCCTCCATTGTGACCCGAGAAAAATAGTGTCAGTAGTATGAAATTCCTCTCATGCGATGCGTTCGATGCAAATCACTGTGCGTTGTCCCATTTAAAATAATGAAAATAATCATTTCTGTCCTATGCGTCCGCCCAATACGTGCAAATGGGAGCTTACCTTAAGAACAATTACATTATGGGATAACCTGCCCGATGGCGTAGTTGGTTAGAGCGTATGAATGCAAGCGTGATTAGAAATTTTTATAACGTATCTGCGGGTTCGAATCCCGCCACTGACACAGGCAGTGTTGGTGGAAATTATTGTATCTCCACGTATTTCTCAGTGTAATCTCCTTCTAGATAGCTTCGGATTTGGATTCGGGGGTTGTCTAATTTATGTGGTGTTTATTATTATTATACAGGGTTATTCAGTAGGATATGAGTAATTAAAACACTGTCATTGTCTTGTTGTTTCTTAAAATGAAATGAAATTTTTACACAATAATTAGTGGACTGTGTCATATATTCAGTAGGATCTGAACGATTTTGTTTTCAATCCCTGACAACCAGCATGCAAACAAACAGTAAGTGTTTATTAATTAATATTGTGACACTTGCCATTTGACATACAATGGAAAACTGTCAGGTTGAATAGAAAGTTTTTGCAAGAAGCTTATATTCCAAGTCAGTCAATAGTGGAAGTGTAAAGACGTTTCAGGCGTCATTTTAACGTTGAAAGACATGGCTAGTAACACTGTCCGCAGCTGTATGAACAAATTTCGTACTGACGGTAACCTGCGGAATAAATGGGTTGGTAAAAGGCGATCGGTTCGAACAGAAGAAAACATCGAAAGGGTGAGAATTGCATTTCAGCGTAGCCCTAAGAGATCTGCGAAGTGACATTCCATTGCGTTAGCTTTATCAGCAACCTCTCTTCATCGCATTTTAAGGCACGACTTGAAGTTATGTCCCTCCAAACTGCAGGTGGTACAGCAGCTAAAAGATTTTTCCCTAATTTTTACTGATATTCTGCATCAAGATCCGACTGTTATCAATAAGTTGATTATATCAGATGAGGCACACTTTTATCTGTCGGATCACCTAACTTTCAAAGTGCTAGATACAGGAGTAACCAGAATCCTCGAGAAATTTAGAAAAAATCCCGGCATTCTGCGAAGTGTAGTGTGGTATGTCTGCTGTTGAGATAATTGGTCCCTACTTTTTTGAAGGATAAAACCATACTGCTACTGTTACATTTGCACGTTACTGCTTTATGCGGGAAGACTTCTTACCTGCTGAATTAAGACGGTTAGGACTTAATCGGGATGCTGTTTGGTTTTAACAGGATGGGGCGACATTTCGTACAGCCAGACAATCTATTGACAATCTATAAACATGTTTCACGGACGTCTAATTTCCTGATTTGGTGATACAAACTGGCCGCCTAGAAGTCCAGATTTAACAGTGCCAGATTATTATTTATGGGGATATTTAAAGTCTAGGTTCTATCAGAATTAACCCCGCATCATTCCAGAACACAAAGAAAACATTACCAAAGAAGTAAAAGCAGTAAATATGGAAATGTTACAATGGATTATGGGTAATCAGTAATCAGACTACAAGAATGCACTGAGACATGAGGAGGAAATTTAAAAAATGTTATTTTTAAAAAATTAAATAAACTGATTATTGTGTATAAATTTCACTTCATTTTAATCAATGGTAGAGTGTTTTAATTACTCATATTCTACTAACTAACCCTGTATTATAAGAGAAATATATAGGCTCACACAGGGCGGAGAGAAAGAACATTTACAAATATGAACGGACTATTCTGGTACCATTTCTACTACTGAAATGAAAGGTTAAAAAACTTACAATTTTATTACTAATTGTGAAAAAACAACCGGAGACAATCCGGAGATATCTTTTATAAGAAAAAAATTGTTTTCATCAAGGTTTTTATTGTCCTTGCACCAATTTCCTATCACAAGAATATAACCTTTTGCCACCATTAACGGATATTTTATTATATAAAAAAATAAATATCCTTCTGTTATGTTAATTTGATACCTGGCAATATAGAAAACTATTGTTATGCTATGTTTTAAAAATTGATCAATCCAAGCGTTATACGATTTTCATTGTACACTTAACTGAAATGCAGCTCAACTAAGAACTATTACAACTTAAATTGCATAGGGTAGATATGTAAGATTTTACCAAGACATCTTGTGGGCGTGTGGGTGGCGCGTATCCAATTATAACTTCTCGACGAATTTCTCATTTCGAGACAATTAAGCGGCATATTATAGTCAGTGAAGCGTCTTTGCAATACAGCTACGTCCCGGCCAACTCGTCTCCACAAATTATACTTTGGGGAACATTAATTTTCATGATGGAGGACGTCGTCTTCCACTTCCATAACCTACCCTTGTAGTCCAGTCTGTTTATTGGAAACGTGTGTCTGATCTGTGTGAACTAATGTACATATCTAAGTTGTTTCAAAGATTTTTAGCAGTTAACTATTTTTTCATTTTAATTCGAATGAGAGAAACACAATGATTTAATAAAAATCTAATAGGAATAACGATGAAATAATTTTAAACGGAAAATGCAGTGGGCAAAAACTAGATGAAATAGATCAAGTAATACAAAACGGCCTTGAAAGCTCATAGGAGAAGAACGAGTCAATTTATTGTGTAGAGATGCTCATCTGCGGCCTCAATCATAGAGGCAGAGAACTTTACGTTGTATATTTTGGGCATTGATGCTCATTTGAACGAGCGACCTGGTTGTGTACGCATCGCGTGTATGTATTGCATGTAACGATGTAACTAAGTTGGGTTCACAAGGATCTTTACGTTTTCAATCCTACATTTGTAAGCATATAGACAAATTTTGTATCTTAAAATGTGATAAAATATCGATGTGTCTTGTATATAATGTAAAGCTCGTGTAGACACATATTTCTTACTGGAAAATACATTTAAAATGTGCAGAATACATATGAAATAATAAAAACAAATTTCCATGTTACATTTATGTCTTTGTGCTGTGTCTGTTCTAGCCACTGTATTTCTTTCCCTAATACAATCAAAAATATCACATGCAATTTTAATATGGGGTTGTGCATCCACGGATAGCAGAGTTTTTGCTTTTCAAAGAAAAACTGTTAGAGTAGCATGTGGTTTAATCTACACAGATTCTTATAGGGATAGTTATATCCAGATGCGACTTCTCACAGTCTTTCTATTTACATTTTGCATTGTCTTATACATGCAATACAGAACTTACGTAATTTCAAATAGGCTAATTTTTGAAAACGGTTTTAAACAACTTGGGGCCTTTAGTGGGTTTTTCCGGGGATTTTTTTTTTTTTTGAAGAAAACGGGGGGGGGGGGGGGGGGTTTTTTTTTTTTTTTTTTAAAAAAAAAAATTTGGGGGGGTCCCCCCCTTTTTTTTTTTATATTTTTATAAATATTTTTTTTTTAAATAAAAAAAAAAAAAAAAAAAAAAAAAAAATTGTTGTGTTAACACTGAATATTACAATACATTTAAAATATTGAGAGCAAAAATTAAACCCGACATCGATAGTGCTTGCAAGGTATATTTAGACAACATTGAAAATAACATGCAATCTAATCCCAACAATTTTTGGAGTTTTATTAATTCAAAAAACAATTCAGGGGGTCAGGTAGATACTATCAACACAGACTTTTCTAAGGCTTTTGACAGGATTAACCACGGTGCTTTGATTTATAAACTTGACAAATTTGGTCTTTCGAAATCGTTATTTCTTTTAATACAGTCATATCTAAAGAATCGACATCAATTTGTTCAGTACCGTGGTTATAAATCGAATAGTTTCTTGCATAGATCTGGCGTGCCACAGGGTTCTATACTCGGACCGCTCTTCTTCGTAATGTACATTAATGATATTTTTGAAAACTTGGATACTAATGTCCACTTCCTCTTGTATGCAGTCGACCTAAAAATGTATCGATTTATTGATAATGTCCATGATTGTCAAATTCTGCAGAAAACCTTGGATAGCAATATTTCTTGGTGCGTCAACAACTATCTACCCCTCAATGCTAGCAAGTGTAATGTCATGTCATTTAGCTGGAAGAATAATCTCTACGTGTACAATTATAATATCGATAATGTTGTTTTATAAAGACCTGATATTATTAAAGACCTTGGCGTTTATTTTGATCCTAAATTGTCATTCAATAAGCACATCAAAATGCTAACTACTTATACTTTTAAGATTTAACAAATGTCAACACTAATCGTTTACTCTATGTAACATTTGTTAGATCTCGCCTTCAATATGCTTCAGTTGTGTGGAACCCAATTTATAATATCAATATATTACAATTAGAGAATATTGAGCATAAGTTTTTAAAATCTGCAGTGAATATATTGTTAGAAAAATTTAACTTACTTTTTACCAAACGAAGAATATTTCAATCAATAATTTTTCTATATAAAATTGTTAATTATCGTCTGGATTGTATTAGTCTATTAAATCAAATAAATTACAAAGTACCTAGAATTTTTGCTCACCATAACAACTTATTTATTTCGCACATACCAAGAACTAATATTCTCTTGGCCTCCCCAATACTCCAAATGTATGTCAACTATGCTAAAATCGAAGATTGTGTTGATATATTTTTCTGCAATGAAAGTGTAACTAAAAAGTCTGTTTTGCACCTTGATGTTTTGTACTGTATTTTTTATTTATCTGTATGTGTATGTGAATGTATATGTACAAGTGTATATTTATATGTGTATATACAATTCTATATGTTTTATTCGTATATATTATATATTTAACTAAGACATTTTTTGCAACACTCAAAATTGTTTATTATGTATTTATCTATACATAATTTCAATGTACCTATCTGTAATTGGGCTCTTGCCTATTGGATTTTGTATTTAAATAAATAAATAATTATAGAACTGATATATATATATATATATATATATATATATATATATATATATATATATATATATATATATATATATATATATATATATATATATATATATATATATATATATATATATATATATATATATATATATATATATATATATATATATATATATATATAATCATAGATTAACTAAATCAAAATCGCAAATAAACTTTACGACCCAAAAATGTTTAATTTTTTGCCTACTACCATAAAGACATTGTCAGTCACTAAATTTAAAACAGATATAAAAATTTCTTTAATAATCAAGTGTTGTTACTCTATTAATGACTATTTTAATCTGAATTTTAG